AAGGCTTGATAATTAAACACAAATTTAGCAAGCTATACAGGATAATGACGTAACTATGATACAATATTACCATGAAAATGTTCTTCTTTTAAATAAAACAAGTTTCAACTTCATAACGTTCTTAGTTTTTTATTTATTAACAAATTAAAAGGGTTACTTAATTCTGAAACACCCTGTATAAGCAATGTATGCGATAAGCCGATAAATATGAATGAATTTAGTTTTATGAAAGAAAAAGCTTCCATCAACCAAATACTTGAATTCCCCGCAATAATGGCCACTGAATCTCATTGGAAAAAGTTTCTGCTGGAGAAGTAAATAGATTTTTTTTTGTTTCTCAAATCACGGAACTGTAACCATAAACTTAATTAACTCGATTTCAGCCATATAAAATCTCGATGAATATTTAAATCTTCGTTTTCTTTGTAAGCCACAACTCCGCAACCCAGATTAATATTCTGCATCAATCATATAGCTGGGGCCATGATACTGTTCTTAATATTTGTGGAATGCAATCATGTGAGTGGCTGCTATCACTATTTAACAGGTGGTTGTAATTTTCACTGGCCTGCTCACTGATAATCTCAACGGGAACGACCATAACACAATACAAACAAAGACCATCGTCATTGTCCTAATGCAGCACCAACTTTGTTCCGCCTTTGATACCAAAGGCGCCTTTGATACCAAGGACCAAATCGTGTGAAACATTCCATCAAGTAGTGAGTGTCTTTTTAGCAAGCACATTAGTTTGTCAGTATCCATGCGAACACTTGCATAAAGTTACTGCTTCGAAATTAATGTTTCTTAGGTAAACAACGCCTTTCGAGATCTTTAATTGCTCAAGTGTAATTGAAGCGGAGGGAATTGAAGGAAAGCGGAGCAGCATTATTTCATAGCAGATATATAGCAAGATCGAGCTTCTATTTAAATATTTATTGCAGGTCAATATTAGATGAGTTTAGTTACATTGGCTTACTCTAATAATAGCCTTTTAATTGAGCTTCAGTCCTCAGATGAACAAGATTCGCGCGGTTGAACAACATTCGCTCGGTTGAACTAAATTTGCTCCGTTGAACAACATTCGCTCGGTTGAACTAAATTCGCTCCGTTGAACAACATTCGCTCGGTTGAACAATCTCCGTTGAACTACATTCGCTCCGTTGAACAACATTCGCTCCGTTGAACTACATTCGCACCGTTGAACTACATTCTTTCCGTTGAACAACATTCGCTCCGTTGAACTACATTCGCTCCGTTTAATAACATTCGCTCCGTTGAACTACATTCGCACCGTTGAACTACATTCTTTCCGTTGAACGACATTCGCTCCGTTGAACTACATTCTTTCGCTTGAACAACATTCACTCCGTTGAACTACATTCTTTCCGTTGAACAACATTCGCTCCGTTGAACTACATTCGCTCCGTTGAGCTACATTCGCTCGGTTGAACAACATTCGCTCTGTTGAACTACCCAACGATTTCAGTTGTCAATTTTCAACGAAATAACTTCCATTCCCATGATATCTTATAGTAAAACAAGTACTCAACTGAACCGCAAGAAACAAATGTTGAACGATTCAATTACTTTTAGGAAGCATAGTGTCCGAATGTCTCTAAAAATTTAGAAAATTCTCCGATTATATTTACTCTAAGTGACATGAAGAATTGCATTATATATCTAATACAACGAAGAAACTAACAGTTACATTGATAGCCCAAACGAAATCTCTGTTAAGAAGTGTTTGATACCGTCTCAAACTATTAGAGTCTATCACCTCATTATCTATACCGCTATTATCCGAGGGTGTTCAGTGGCAGTTGTTTCTCTGATACCCGTGGCCGGTGACGAATAGTTGCACGCGGCTGCTGCAGACGAGAGGCCTAAAGCAAATATTGAAACAATTAATTTATTGAAAAAATCTTCAATGCTTCTAGTTTGAAGTCAGTATTTCTGCACAGTTCTAATCCTGTTTTGATTTTAGTGTCGAAACATTATTTCCTTTAGAAGAGAATAGTTCTCGTTGTAGTTTGATCTATGATATAATTACTCGGTAGATCAATGTTCAATGTTCAATGCTCACAAGGCAATGAAAAAGATCTACTTCGTGTTTCTTGAGGCCAACGATCGAGGTTCAATAAACACCGCATCAGCAGGTTAACGATGTGAAGTTTCTACTCAAAAATTATTTTGTTTCAGTGACACCACTATTTCAAAAGCATTTGTTCATCCTGCACAAACATGAGATGTCACAATGCTCCTATTACTGTAGGTTTATGTAAGTTGAGAATCTCATCCGTTAATTTCGGCCTTTGCTTTCTTTGGACAATTTTGGCTCGGTAAGTTTTTGCACGATAGCCTGAAAAAATTTCGAGCGATTTAATTGAATTGTTACACACACGGAGCACTCAGCAAGTTTTTACATTGTAAGCATTTTAGTTACATTAGAAAGTCTTGGCTCGCTTATAGCAAGA